CGTCTTCTGCAGTCCTGAGCTATTTTTAGTCTTCATTATATCATCACCTCTTTTTGCTCCTTTAAATCCAGGAAGGAAAATAGTGTATCACTTGTTATTTTATGGATTCTTCATAGCCCTTGATGATTCCCTAAATTCTGCTCAACTTCATCAAATCCTCTCCTGCTTAGGAATTTCATCTATTTCCAGGTTTGTTTGTGTTGTTTTGTTTTCATTTATAATTGAAGGAAGAGAGACTTAGAAAAACAAAGTACAATTAAAGGAGAGAAAAATTTTTGCAATCTGATTATATTGGAATGCACATTTCTCAGAATGATTTCAGGCTGGACATGGCCAAGTGGAAATCTGCATGTAACTTGGGAAACAAAGAGAAGAAATACCTATTACTGTCTGAAGTTCAAGGAGGAATAGTGAGGTAGTATAGCATGGCAGGTCACAGATTGTCCTCTCTAATATCAGGATTTGCTAATATTTGTCTTCTTTTTATTTTCTATTATTTTTTTCTGACTGCTGACTCTTTGGACAAATAATGGCTCCAGATCTACTACCAGATAGTTTTCCTGAAAACTCACAGTCAACACACAAGCAAACATTTCAATTTTCGCTGTGATGGTACCTGGGATAAAAGGCAATGAGAACAAGGCCCAGCTAGCACAGCCTTCCAGCAGGGGCCAGGATGTATATCACTGAGGCCACTGTATAGCCTTTAGCCCATGTCAAGACTTTCCTGACTATAGAAACATGAGTAGCTCCAAACTAAACCAATAGAGGAAATAATCGAATCTTGAAAAACAATGCACAATCCCTGTTCAAATTACTGTTCTAGGGGTTTTTCAAATGCAACATGTAGAAATGGGTACAAGTAGGTACTATTTTTAATAATAGTAATTTTTGTAAAAATAGTAATTTTTAGTAATTTAATAATAGTAAATTTTGTAAATTGATGACTTGGTGATGGGAAGAATCTAGAAAGATAGCCAGGCTACTGCTGCTGGAATCTAGAAAGGCCCTGAGAAAAACATCTGAGCCTGTAGAACAGCAGTCTGTGTTGTGAACTGGCAGGAAAATTGGCCAAAATGTTGCCTATTGTTATTTGTGAAGCTAGTAGACACTGTTGGCTCTGTTGAAGTAGACTTTCAGAGAGAAGGTTGAAAACACCAATTGCCTTTTTAAAGTATCTATCTGATAAGATATGGAAAGAAAGAAATGATTTAAAGAGAGAGTAAAGTTTTCAAATATTTTGGGTAAAATAATGGGTACCAATATTTAGGGGGATGTAGAAACTATAATCATTTCTTATCCCCATTCTCCTTAGCTGGTATAATCTAATCAAAATGATATGAGACCAAGGTATGTTTCTTAGTTCTTTTTAAAAACACTTCTGAAAGATGTAAGGTGGTGTCAACTAAACACTTTCATAAAGGAGAGAAATGTCAAAACACCTTGCTCATGTGATCCCCAAGTATGGAAAGATCATTTATACCCTCCAGTCCCAGTCAGCTATTTGATACAAGTCCAGGTAATGGAAGTAATCTTATGCGGTACTAGTAGGCTAGCTACCTAAATATCCAGCACTACACTTTTGTGGGGTTTGCTATTCAGTACTAGACAACTAATGAAAGTTAATCTTCACAATTATTTGTAACCGGAAGAATGATTTAAACCAGATCATATAAACTTTTAGAACAGTAAAATTAATCTAACCCCAAAACTCCATTTTAGAACTAGAAGGACACCCTTCTTTTTTTCTTAGGGTGAGTCTTCCTGGAATGACCTTGTTTCCCTAACCATTCACAATGTCAATGCCAGTCTTTTTTCCTCAGCATTGCAGCATGAACCCATCTTAAGAGTAGGAGATTCCCAATCACTACCAGAAGGCCTGTTCCTGGTATAAGTGATAATGCTACTTGTGAAGTATGTCCAAGTGATGATATGTCCAAATCTGGAAGAAGCATTTTTTAACCTGAAGTGTATACTCATATTTTCTCTCTTCGTTTCCAACACTGTCCTTATCACTGATGTGAGAATACCCAGAAACTGGCCTTCTGTTTTGTTACTAGATTTCTGATTTAGGCGAAGTTGTCTTACTGGAGTCAAGGTGACCTTGTTCTATAAGACGCTACTGCATAACAAGTTTGCTGGCCATATGCAAACTTGGAATCATACTTTACTGTCAGACTGCCATCTTGGAAATCCTCCCTGCACAGTGATGCCAATTATGGTATTATCATTGCCATTGCATTAAAACTGATGGTTTCTGTTGGAGACAGACAGTTATCCTGTTTCATGTCATCTCTAACCACAGCTGTGATGATGACATTCTTGATTTAGCAATGCTCTATCATGCTGCAGAAGTGTGTGTGTTTGTGTGTGTGTGTGTGTGTGTATTACTTCCAGTATTAAACTGTTAAAATTTTAGTTATTGTATTTCACTAAGACATGCTATTTGCAATTTATATATCACAGTTACTGGCTTACCTTCCCAAACACAACCATTGTTTATGAATCAGGTCTAGAGTGACATGTAGCTGTTTTAGTCAAATTTTTTTTTGCTGCTGTGACTAAAGGACTTGTCCAGAACAACTTTACAGGAAGAAAAGTTTATTTAAGGCTCACAGTTTCAGAGATTTTAGTTCATAGAAGGCTGGCTCCATTTCTTGGGGCTTGAGGCCAGGCTAAACATCATGGCGGGAGAATGTGACAGAGGGAAAGCAGCTCACATCATGATCAGAAAGCAGAGAGAGAGAAATCTTTAATTGCCAGATACAAATATATACACCAAAGCCATGCCCTAATTTCTACCTCCTCCAGCCACACCTTACCACTTCTGTTACCTCTCAGGTAATCCATATCAAGGGATTAAGTCATTGATTCCATTAACACTCTCACAACCCAATAATTTCTCCTCTGAACTTTCTTGCAATGTCTTACATATGAGGTTTTGGGGTCACTTCACATCCAAACCACAATCGTAGCTGTCCAATTTTAGTTGAAGGCTGTCTCTGGAACCAGCTCCTATATATGTGGCACTGGGCAAGTCTAGATTCCTCCTACCACATGGTAAGTCACTGCTTATGTGCTCAGAGTATGTACTCTAATGCTGAATGTATGCTGTGCCATTTCAATACAGCCTATATAATTAAATAATATTGAACTTTAAAAGGGAAGATATGGGGACTTTTTTTCTCTACAAGTAGGATGTTTTTCTCTAGGAAATTTTGCTCTTTCTAAACAATGACTTAACTCTGTATCTAGGAAGAATAGAAGTGATGTGGTCAGTGTGAAGGAAATAAAAAGTGACAAAAATTATTTCTAGCAGATGGGCTGTCAGTACCAAAATTGATTCATTATTTTACAAGACCTAGATAGAGCGTCAAGCCTACTTTAATGTTTTATGCTTTATATAGGATTAAGATTTTCTATCAGTGTCCAAAGTACAGGTGAAAGAGATTCTTAAAGGATATTTTAAAGATTGAAAAGAAGCTGTAAGGATTTGCTGTCATAAAACCTAGAGGGGACTACTCTGTTTCTGAACTGTCAATCTCATATCCTTTAAAACATTTTGGCAGCCATTTCCTTCAGACTTGTCAAATGTGTCATTGATAATAGGTTTGCATCATAGAGGGGAAAGAGGATATTAAGAACTTAATTCTCAACACTTGTCAGTTAGGGTGTCACCAATAGTTTAATGCAAGAGCTCCTCTAATTTCTCTGTACATGTAATCTAAGGTATTACAAAGCCACAGAGTATGTGAAGGGGAAAGGGAATAGATATTTATTGAAGGTCTATTATGTACTTGGTATTTTCATATTTCAAATTCTTCACAACCCAATGGAACCAACTTCATTATCCTCCAGTTTCATAATAGAGGATTGAGACCCAAAAAGGTCAAATAAATTTTCAAAGGTCCCATACCTTCTAGTGTTTCCTAGGATGGGTGCTCGAGTCAAACAAATTCTAGAGGCTGTGATTTTTTTTCATTGAATCATGCTGCTTAGTATATATTTGGGGATGTGTGTAATAATGGGTCAGGAGTGTACTCACAAATATAGTATTCCTCTTTATGGACCATATAACAAGTATATTAATACAGATTATCAGATAATGGAGTGATAGCCAAATCCCTAAAATATGGTAGTATGTTATCAAATACTAAATACTATAATAGTTGCAATCATGAGTGAGACTGAAGCTGCCAGCAAGACTATCATTTTATCCCCGATAGAAAATTAATTTTTAAAAATGTGATGTGTTTATTGTAAAGCCCCTGGGCATATGTACAAGAACAAAAAACAGCATTTACATATCTATTATCTATTAACCAACACTGCATTTGCCAGGCTTTTGATACAATTAAGCAAATGCTTGACTGAACAGATGGGTCTTATAAGGATCCCTAAGGGCATGTCTACATTAACTATGCCAAGGGGGGTTAATGCACCCATTTGGCATCTGTGTGCCTTTTCCCAGCAGCATATACACTACTGCTTTGCATGGTTGCAAATGGGCCCATTTTTGTCCCCGAGGACTAAACGTAAATGAATTGTGTTATTTCCAGTTAGGTTGAAACCTTTCTCTAATAATAGTAGATTACATTCTGTGATAGTTTCTTATCTTCATTTACTTGAAACTGGCCTATGCTCATTTTGTTTACTTGTGGCATCAAGAAAATAGAACCTGTTTCTTAGGCAGAACACACAGTCTTTTCATTTTATGCCTTAGTTTGTATAGTTTCTAAAGCTAGGGAATAATAGCTAGAGAAGGAAAATAAAAACAAACCCATCTCTTAATAATAAAGAATTTAGCATTATGATACATGTCAAAAGAAGTATATGTTTTCTACCAGACAGTTCTATGACCTCTGGAATGAAGGGAGAATCCCAGGTATACTCGTGAGTATTGCAGACTCCTTTTGCTGTCTGTTGGATAGATCTCTCTCTCTCTCTTGGAAATGAACATTTGACATGTCTAAACATTTTTGTCTTGGCCCCGTCTTTAGGACTTCCTTCAAATTCTCAAAAGGAGTTTAATTCTGGACCTGGTCTATGGATAATGGATGTTTTGGCAGAGTGTATGCCACCGAGATAAAGCTGCACCGTGAAACAAAATGTATATGGTATGAGTTTTAATATGCTACGCGGCATGGACTTTATTCTTTGCATTTTGCATTAGTCTATTCCTGTGTCAGAAGCGCTTGGCAAAAGGGGTTCCATCCCCTCATTATCTGTGTGAGTGCATTGCATGGTGCAGTCCATTATGTAGCAGTATACATTTTTAAAAAAGAAAAGAAGCTCAACATCCTTTCAGCCATATAAGGCAAGCAAATATATGCAATGAATGGAATTATTTAATAGTCTTGTCAAGTCAGGCATCAGGAATGGAAATTAGCTTACTTTTCTCTTTAAAAAGAACTCTTTTAGCACTGTGTTATCAAAATGTATGTTTGACTTACTGAGAAGGAGATAAGCTTACAATAGACAAATCCCTCCTAACTTTTCTTCCCAGAGCTTATGCATTCATTGCCTTTAGTGAGTAAAAAGAAAATGAAGAAAAGGAGTGAGGGAAAAAAATAAAAGGTTTCAGGGGCACTTATGTGTAAATATCACTTTGAGGGTTTGCTGGACTACAGTGCCTGCTTTATTAGTATTCAGGATAGTAACAGTGTAGTGAGTGACCATAACACGTATTTCCTTTGAAAAGTATATCAAAAAATATAGCATGCTTATTGAAAATTTTTCTGATTGTTGCAATTTAAGGAACAAGATTAATGCAAATGTTTTCATTGTTTCTACTTATTGCCCACATTAGATGATATTTTTGTTGTGTAAGTATTTTTAGGTTAAGCAGTTGGAATTGCTGTTCCAGAATGAAAAGAAACTAACATTATTATTGCTATTATTCTATTATAGCACAATTATTTGAAAAATCTGAGACTTCTATAGTTTTGGATTCAAATAACTAGTTAGTTGTAGTGCTAAAATTGCTTATTAAAATAGTTTATTTTTGCCCAGTACAATGCTATTCTAAGTCCTAGATTAATTCTGATTTTTATATTTTTAGTTAATATACAGAATTAATATGTGTAACAAAATAAATATGTACTCATATGAACACTCATAAATATAACAACTAGAAAAATGTAGGCAAGCATTGTATATCTCCCTATCACTATATATATATATATATATATATATATATATATATATATATATATATTAATATTACAAATTAAAGCATGTACCATCTCTCTTCAGTTTTCACTCTTTCATCAATTTCACAATTTCATCTATAACCTTCCAGACTTCTGTGTGTTCTTTTGTGTGTGTGTGTGTGTGTGTGTGTATGTTAGAGAAAGAGGTTTTTAAAAAATGATATCATACATTAATTGCCATTTTGCATTTTGCTTTTTTATCTAACTGTATATCATAGAATCAATGTCATGACATGTGCACATGTGTGAATTTATTTTGAAGTAAATATTGTCCTGTTCATTTCTGTTAATATTTCTTTGTCCATTTTGCTAAGTATTTCATGGGATAAAATTCTTAGAAGAGACATAATACCTATGTTACTAGATTAGACAGCATCACCTTTGAGTTCTTTGGCTTGAAGCAGACCTATGAATTCTTCTTGAAAACTAAGTGAAATCTAACAAAAAGTCGTAGGAGGATGGGTCTTGTTTTGTGGAAATTAAAAATATTGACCTTATAGAAGAAGAGAGTAGAGCAGTGGTGATTAGAGACTAGAAGGGTAAGGGAGAGGAGGGCGGATAGAGTTTGGATAATAGGAACAAATTGCAGTTAGTTAGCAGAAATTTGTTCTAGTGTTCTATAGCACAGTAGCGTTAGCCATAGTCTAAGATAATTTATGATCTTTTCCAAATAACTAGAAGAGTTCAAAGGCTCCTAACACAAAAATAATAATGTTAGAAGAGGCAGAAATTTAATTACCATAATCTAATCATTACACATCAAATAATTATACTCTACTCCCAAAATGTGTATAAATATTATGTCAATTAAAAATCAAACTTAAAAATTTAAGACCCGTTCACAAAATACTTAAAATCAAACTAGCATCTTTTAAGAAGTCCCACTGGATTCTCTGGATGCTACAGCCAGACCTTCATGAAAATGTATCTATGGAGCTTCAGTAGCTAGTCCAGGCAGAGCTGTCAATGCAAATGTCCAGCACATAAGGGCACTGTGGCCTAGAGCTTGCAGGAGAGCAGAGGCTTTCAGTTATCTGACCCTCCTTCTGCCCTGAAAATACATCAGTGTCAGTCATGGCCTGAAGGTGAAGACAGAGCCTCCCTGCACTCAGTTCAGCAAAGCGCACCCAACAGAATACCAACTTGCCTCGCAGGGATCCCATTGAGGATTTGCATTTGCTGTCTTCTGCTGTTTTCCTTGATTTCTAATTAATACAATTTCATATTTAATGAATTCTTGACAAAGATGATACCATACAAAGACAAAGCTACATATTTTCCTTTTAGTTTTTATGTTATTATAAATGAATAATATGACATAGTACATAAACTAGATCTTTTTTTCCTTGCTTTTTGGTTCCATGGGCAACAAGGACCTAAAGCATGACCCAGAGAACAAAATTAGCCACATATTCTAACCTGCTGTGTTTTTCTAGATCAGCTCAATAATAGTTTACTTCTTCTGTTTGAATTATCACAAAAAGGTGATTTCTTTTGTCAAGATAAAGTATTTCCCGTGAATTACTAGCACATACCATCTAGTAATAAGAACCAATCACAGTGCCATGGATAAATAGACATAGGATATATATATATATATATATATTTTAAATCAGGGGGAGACTCCTGGCAGGATTAGACCAGTTTGTCAAAAACAAAACAAAACAAAACAAAACCTAGACCCAGTCCTGTAGTGTTAAACTGATGGTCAGCAACAGGACTGCATTTTTAAAAAAATTTATCTACACACACACACACACTCAATACACACACGGAAAGAGACACAGAAAAGGACTGAGGCACAGAGATAAACAGAGACAGAAAGCAAAGTATAAGTTATTTAAAAATTGATGGAAATATTATTGGCCTAATCCTGCTTAAAAAATAGTTTGATTCTACTCTGAGTCTGATAGAGTTTTTTCCTAAGACTAGGTTTGAGGGAAAATCACTACATTGTGGAAGCTGTAAAAAATAGTTTTTTGGTTCTCAAGTTTATAATGGAAACAAATGTCTCACTATTGATTTTCTGTATTATTAAAATTATTCTGTCTGTCTCTTTTGACATAATGTTCTTAATATCCTTTGTTTATGATAATCCTATTACTTGAATGAATTACATTGTAGAGCACAATTCTTTGTTTTTGTTTTGTGGGGTACCGGGGATTGAACTCGGGGGCACTCAGTCACTGAGTCACATCCCTAGCCCTATTTTGTACTTTATTAGAGACAGAGTTTCACTGAGTTGCTTAGGGCCTCACTAAATTACTGAGGCTGGCTTTGAACTCCTGATCCTCCTGCCTCTACCTCCTGAGCTGCTCGGATTATAGTTGTGCGCCACTGCACCCAGCTAACAGCACAATTCTTAAAATATTATGTATCCCAGGGCTCTGTCACTGGCTTTGTGTTAGTCATATTTTTGTCACTGTGATGGATATATGAGAAAAACAGCTTAGAGAAGGAAAGATTTATTTTGGTTCCGTTTCAGAAGTTTCCATCCATGGTTGGCTGGCTCCATTGCTTTGGACCTGGAGTGAGGCAAAGATCATGATAAAAGGTTGTGTCAATATGAAGCTGCTCAACTCAAGGTAGCCAGGAAGCAGAGAGTCCAAGGGGCCCGGGAAAAAGTAATAACCTTTCAGGGCATGCTCTTACTCTTTCCAAATAGGTCCCATCTCCTAAAATTATACCACTTTCCCACTATGCCATCACATCATTAATCCACTGATGATTTCAGAGCCGTCATGATATAATCACTTGTCAAAAGTCCCACCCCTGAACATGGCTGCAGTGGAGACCAATCCCTCAACACGTGCATCTTTGGGAGTCACTTTATATCCAAATCACAACAGAACTCTTTCTCTCTTTACCTTTCCCTCAATTATGCCATCTTAATCCCTTTACTAAAATACCCACCACATACACATACTTTCTGAGTTCTAACTTCAGCATAGACATCTTTGTCAAATTGTTCCATGATTTTTTGTAGAGTATATGAAACAGAATTTACCATCTTTCTTGCTCAATACTTTTTGTCACGTATATGTTCATCTTGTGACTATAACCAATAATGTAACTCAATGCATGAGCCCCAAACAGATTCTGCTTCCTTTATCTCCCTCCCCTTAGAGTTAAAAATCTCTCATCCTATACTTTACTTTCCGTCATCACTGACACTTCCTTATTTCAGGTCCATGTGAATGAAATGGCACCCTCTACTGTCCACTTTTCTTTACCTCCAGTCTCTACCCTTTTTCCAAAGGGATTATTCAAAAAGAAAAGAATGATCACACATTTGATTAATGTTTTAATTAATACATTAATAAATTTAGCTTCCAAGACACTACTCAGATCTTGATGGTATGATGGCCACCTTCCTTGAAGGCCCTTGGATGTTATGTTCCTCTGTCTTTTCACACATCCTTCCTTCCTAACCATGATTTATCTATCTATCTATCTATCTATCTATCTATCTATCTAGTAATCTTTTTTTTTCATTTGGAAATCATTGAATGAGAACCTATTATGACCCAGGGGATTCACTTGGGAGCTGGGGACATGGTTGAGAACAAAACAGTCATACTTTCTCAAGGTATTTACTAGTTAGTAAGGAAATATATATCTATCTACATACACACACATGTCAAATGATTACAAATGGAACAAATGACATAAAGAAGAACTTGAAGCACCTCTTACAGTAGTACTTAAAGTAGTTTGTGAAATATGGTATACTTTTCCCATAGAAATGAAATCTGTTAAATATTGAAGAATGAACTAAGAAAAAAGAAGGAACACCATTCCAAGAGGGGTGTTAAATGAAAGTACACAGGCAGAAGAAAACGTAATAACGGTGTAGATGGGTGAACAAAGGGAAAGGAGCAAATGACTACTGTGTTGTCTGTTTC